ATAAGGCCTTAAGGAGGGAAAAGTGGCTCGATCCATTAGCCGAACATCTAAATACAGAAGAAAAACTGTCCTAGTTGCTCGGCAATGACTCACCTCATGTAAGATACTCTGTTGGGGTGTTTGCTTTATATGCTGAATGGGGCCATATAATATAAATAGATCTTCAAAAGATGCCTCCCCTTTTGCTTCCCCTTCTGACGTCACTTCCGATGATGTCAGGGGCGTGGCATATGCTAATAGGCAATAGATAATAATGCTAATAGCCTATTAGGTATGCTAATGAGCTCCTGCAGCTCTTTTTCTACGAAATGACCCCTGGCCAAATCCCATCTGCTTTTAGCAGTCCTACTAGTCCTCATATTCCTTTAGCGCTGTCCACTAGTCCTCATACTCCTGTAGCTCTGGGTTTGGGAGGGGCGAGCCCTCTTTCAGCCATTCAGTCTGACCCACTATATGCAAAGTTTGGATCTGAACCAATGAAAAATGCTATCTCTTAGACCAATAGTGTGTGCTCTCTCTCTCGCTCTCTTGCTCTCTCTGACACACACACACACACTATCCTGGAGATTTGGGGGGGTAGAACCAGGGGAAGGCAGAGTTTGGGGATGGACCTCAGTGGGGTATAATGCCACAGAGTCCACCCTCCAGAGCAGCCATTTCTCCAGAGGAACCAGGCAGTCTCTGTGGTCTGGATACTGACAGTGATTATGAGAGCGCTCCAGGTCCCACCTGAAGGTTGGCAGTCCTAACACACACACACGTTTACATGAATTCAGAGGAGACAAGAACAAAGACCTATAGAGGAAATGCCAGGTAGACATTCCAGACCTGTGTTTGTCTGTAGGATTCCATATCTACAGATGAACATTGTAAGGCACTTCATCCATAGGTACTAAAGCTCATTACATTCCATTCAGAAGCATTTTGAAAAATCTCTCTATCTTCTGAAAGAAAATGTCAATATAATTTGTATTCTGTACTTTTCATGAATTCCATGAAATAGTATACTGCTGAGCTATTGGCCGAGTTCAGACTGGCAGTTTGAAGCAGGAGGGAGTTGTGGCGAGAAAGAGCCAGAACAAACTGTTTTCCTGTTCACACTGCAGCGACTGATGCGGGAGCATACCGGGAGGAGGCGCAAGGGAGCGTTCGCACTGTTGGCCTGGGGGCACGGCTGTAAGGCGCGGCTTTCTTTTTGGTAATCTGGAGATATGCACTTATGTGCATATGCACATGAGTGCATAAGAAAACCACGGCTTTTGGCATTCACACTTTGTTGGTGCAGAATGGATGCGGGATCATTGCGTTTTCCAGGGTTTGCTACTACTTTCACCAGGTATCTTTTAAACTTGGGAGCGAAGCGCTACAAGACGGGTTGAGTATGGGTGGGGAATGCCTGACAGATGTGCCTGTGTGAACGGCCCCTTTAATCCGGTTGTAGAATGTTTCTGAAACGTGCCTATATCGGGGCAAACTGCCAGTCTGAACTTGGCCATTATTTCAAACTAGAAATAAGGCCCGTTGTGGAAATAAATACAACGAGATCTAGAAAGAGGCTCTGGGAGAGTGCTCTGGCTTTGGGCAAACAGTGTTAGTCTGCTTTTAAAACATGAACCTGGGACCTGCACACCACCAGGATACAGCAGGTTCCATAAGCAACTGACATTCCAACTGCCTTGTGGGGGGGGGAGTTTGAGGTGTGGAATGGAGTGAAGTCCAATCAGCTTCCATATGCAAAAGACCAGGTTGTCGCAGCAGTTGTGGTGTGGGCGGGACCCGGGCTGTGCCTTCTGATTGGTGGCGATATATGCTGAGGAGCAGTGCCATCAGCCATACACTAAGGGAGTGCATTTTAGAATTAGAACTTTGGCACCCACTATTCAATTATATATAAGGAGAGATAATTCAGAAGATAGATGCTTATCTTGACAATTTGTATGGGGAATAGGATTCAGTAAATTGGCTTTCCACTGAACAAACCTGTGCAGTTACTGGAAGGTACAGCCATTATTCTCCATTTTCGTTTCTGGAAATGAGGCATGAGGTCTTACAGCCTGCCATAAGCTACCATCTGTAGGGAAGCAGCATAGTGCAGTGGTAAGGATGTTGAACAAGGACCAAGAACAGATAAATCATGTGGGCAATGTGGATGAGTAAGTTCTCCTTCTTCCAAGAACAAGCCGCCCTGAGCCTGCTTTGGCGGGGAGAGTGGGGTAAAAATCAATTAATCAGTCAAATAAATAAATAAATAAAAATAAAGAAGATCAAGGTTTAGTCTCCCACTCAACCATGAACCTTGCTGGATGATCTTCAGTCTCCCTCAGCCTAATCTACCTCAAAAGAGCTATTGTGGATAGTTTTTAAAGGGCACGATAAATGGTTAGCTAACACTATCCGTGCTTATACTGCAACGAGTGATAGTTTTTATCAGCATTAAATGAGGTTCGAAAGCACTTAAGAGTATGAAGTCTTGTGGTAAGGAAAAGGGCAGTCAGGTCACGGCTGACTTGTGGAGACCCTGCAGGGTTTTCAGTGTAAAAAATGAACAGAGGTGGTTTGCCACTGCCTTCCTCCGAACAGCAACCCTGAACTTCCTTGGTGGTTTCCCACCCAAGTACAAAGCAGGGCGAATTTGAGATCTGACAAGAATGGGCCAGCCTGGGGCATCCGGGTCAGGGTATGAATCCTTGTACTGATTTGAATGAATCACTATTTATTTTTAAAAAGAAATGAACAATCTTTAATGGGTCTGCTATTAACAGAGTTTTAAGAACGTTTTGCACATTACACTGAAGAGGCAAAAAAGGAAGTGTACTTCATTGCTGTGAGCAGAAGGGGAACTTGCTCATTCACACCGCCCACATGGGGAGATGTATGATTTATCTCTGTATGTGGAACTCAGGTGTCTGTCTTCCATAGAGAATTTCCCCTTTCTTCATTTAAGTGGAACTGCTACTCATTCTTGCTCTTTCGTATGCTAATGTTGCCTGTGTGCATTTCTGCAGGCAGTGCTCTTATCTTCCCACAACAATTTTGTGTTCATAATGATGGATTTTTTATTTTATTTTATTTTTTGCAAGCAGAATTATCTTGTCATGAAAGTATGAGACTAGTCCTCTTTTCTGCTTGGAAGAAGCATAAATCAATATGAGTTTGGGAGGACTGATGTTAACTTGTGGCATGGATATTTATTACCTTTAATGGAAAAAGGAAATGACTTGCGTATAAGAGCATGTATGCTCTTCTGGTGGTGCCTAGTTTCAGAGGGTATTGAAAACTTGTCTGTATTTACACATCAGTTTATGCGTATGTTCCACTTGGTAAAAACCACTGGAACATGCATGTAGCAAGCACAAGTGACCCTTGCAGTCCCAGCACCTAAGGGAGGGGAGAGGGCAGCGAAGGCGAGGAACCCCCTTTAACAAACCCCCTTTAACAAACCCGCCGATAAACACCATCACTCACAACATTTTGGAATAAAATGGCCACAACTTTATTGGTTACAGCTGTAAGAAGCCTTGGCACAGCATGGGACCATCTGATCCTGGCATCGACTGACACAGGGAGGGGTGGGTGGGCAATCGATCCCACGTGGCCAGGTGAGCTGGCCAGGCAGTGCGGCGTGCTACCCCCCCCAGTAGCCCCTCCCCTTCTCCCATCCCCAGGCCCAGCTCAGGCCCCATCATAGGCCTACCTGTGGCTAAGGAACTGGCCATCCTGTGCAGCCCATTCTACCTTACAGGACATGGCCAGTCATGGCCACCATCCCTCCCTGCTGGCTTTCCCCACCGGCACAGGACTGCAAATGAAACACGCAGGTGAGTTATGGCCCCAGCTTCCCATAGTATTTGTTTCATGTATTCTGCCACTACTCCTCCTCCTATGTGGGTTGTGGTGGTTTACAGAAGTGCCGTGATCTACATGCTGAGCCTCTGTAAAAGGACAGTTTATTCTCTGTTGTCAAGTTATGGGGAACAATTTAATGATAGAAGAAATTCTGTAACTTTGTCTATCAACACAGCTCCTACCGGTACTAAGCTCCAACTAGGGTTGCCGGGACCTACTTGGCTGCCAATGGGGGGCTCCAGGGTCCGTTTTGGTGTGGGCAGCATGATGACATCACCCAGAAGTGACATCATCACATCATTGACATTGGGGTGACACTCTACTTTTTGGGCAAAAATTCTATGGTTTGAGCCCAATTTTACTATAGAGTTTTGCCCAAAAACTAGAGCATCACCCCCAATGTTGGCAATATGATGATGTCACTTCCAGGTGATGTCATTATGTCATGTCCGGGAGCATTTGTGGGTGGGGTTTTCCCCTAGCTGGCCGCCAGCGGAAAGGGACCTGTAAAAGCAGGGGAACCAGGGGCCTGGCAACCCTAGCTCCAGCTATAGAAAATACATAGAATCAGGGCTATTTTTGGGCAGGAACACACAGGAACAGAGTTCCGGCTGGCTTCCAAGTTGGCCACACCCAGCAGGAACTCATTAGCATAATAGGCCACACCCAACAGCAGAAACACATTAGGATTGGCTACATTAGGGGTGTGTGACCTAACATGCAAAGGAGTTCCTGCTACAAAAAAGCCCTGGGTAAACAGAATAAGAAGCAAAAGGTGGGTGTGGCTGAATGAGCACACTTCTGGTAACATAGGGGTGCGGCCTAATATGCCAATGAGTTGTGCTGTCAGGGGTGTGGCCTAATATGCTAATGAGTTCCTGCTGGGCTTTTTCTACAAAAAAAGCCCTGCATAGAATCCTACCCACTTGGCAGTAAGTGCCATTGATTTCAATTGTCCTATTCTCAGGTAATGTAGACAGGATTGCTGCTTTAATAGCCAGTCTTGCAAGATGTGTATTATGTGCTACTGGCCTGTCATTATGCAATGCCATGGACTACATTTTACCTTTCACTTTGAACCAGTAATTCAGATTGATGTGTTTTCCCTAATATACACACTTTCTAAACATTTCTTGGTTTGTCTCCCATGACAGCTGCCCGAATCCTAGAAAACATGGATACTACATCTGAACCTTGCAAAGATTTTTACCAGTACGCTTGTGGGGGATGGTTAAAGAAGAACATCATTCCAGAGACAAGTTCCCGTTACAGTAACTTTGACATTTTAAGAGATGAACTAGAGGTTGTTTTGAAAGGTCAGTGAATACAAAGTTTATGGACTAAATATTTGGGGCATTTCAGTCTTCTCGTCCATTCATCTACATTTCACCTCAAGAGAGCAAAGAATGGTTGTATTTGTGTGTGCATATGTGTTTCTATCCTCTAGTCTGCCCCAAATCAGCATAGAGTATTTCCTTGGTTATATGAATGCACATATGGGGACGAATCTGTTGTGTCTGGTGAAAAGCAAACAGACTGTGTCAGGCTTGGATAAATCTCAACCCACTCTGGGGAATGAACTCTGTCTCACATTCTGACAATTGCAACAGCTGAAACCACTGCCCATATGACCCTGCAAGGGTGGGCAGCAGTCCTAGGTGCGGAAAAAAGAGGTGCTTCCCCTTCAGATCAACTCAGCTTAGGAACAGTGCTAAAAGCACGGGCAGTCACTATTGGCTAGCTTTATACCCTGTATTTAGATTCCGTCGTGTAATCACTTTCTGAACATAAGCATACGACAGTCCTATGAACCCTTGTTCATCACAGCAGCCCCTTCTTGCCATTCCCTCATGCATCAAGGTTCAGGTAGCTTTAGCTCACTCATGGCCTTTTCTCTAGCTGCCTGTTTGCTTGGCGATGACCTGCTTGCGGGCAGAAGGAAAACCCCTTCCTTATTAGCCTTTAGGAAGAGGCTGCAAAACGAATTGTTTCATAGAACATTTGGGGCCTCTTGAAGTACGTTGGCAATAGTCTGGATACTGTGGTCATTTGTGAACTGTGCCTAGGGTTGCCAACTTCCACATCATCTCCTGATGATCTGGAATTACAGCTGAAGCAGTTTTTCTCCAGGCCAGTTTGGCAGGAGATCCTGGAGCTTTTTTGTCATCTTCTGGGCATGGAACAGTGATCACTGGGGGTGTGTGGGTGGGGAGGAATTTGTGAATTTCCTGCATTGTGCAGGAGGTTGGACTAGATGATTCTGTGATTCCAGATGACGGAGATCAGTTCTTCCAGAGAAAATGGCAACTTTGGAGGGTGAACTCTAGGGCATTATATCCTACTGGGCTTCTGCCCCTCTCCAAACCCCACAGTCCCAAGGTTTTGCCCCCAAATCTCCAGGAATTTCCCATCCTGGAATTGACAGCCCTAATCAATTAGCTTTGGCACAGAGGAAGCAATTGTATTTCTGGAACTATGTTTATCATTGTTGGTAGCCACCTTGATTCCTACGGTATTAGAGAAGGCAGGCATAGAAATGTTTTAAGTTAATAAATATTTTAAATAAATAACTGTTTTAAGTAAATAAATAAGTAAGCAAATAAATAATTTTTAAAAAACCAAACTTTGTCCAGATTCAGAAGTGCACTCTGAATTCCAAAGAGAAGGATACAAAAGTTCAAGAACCTCCTTCTCATTTCCCACAGGGGCTCCTGCTGAGGCTGAGAAGTGAGGATTCCTTAGGATATCCCACAGCTCTCAGAGCATTTACAGAGTTTTAAATAGTTATAAATGGCGCTCTCAAAAACTTATCATCCTTCGGTATGCCTGAGGTTGTAAGAGGTAAAATGGGCATCATTATGCAAGATACTGCGCCGCTCCTATTGAACTAAACATTCCCAACTTAAACCACGGCAACCTTCTCACAGGACACCCAGATGTGAGTCCAGTAGCACCTTAGAGAGCAGCATGATTTGGGGTGGGGTGGGGTAACAGCTTTCGAGAGTCAATGCTCCCTTCGTCAGATACTTTGACTCTCTTTGACTCTCAAAAACTTACACCACCAGAATCTCGTTACTCTCGAAGGCGCTAGTGGACTTGACTCTAGCCTTTCTACTGCAGACCAACATGGCTACCCTCTGAAACTAACTTGTTCTAGGACGGTGCCTGGGATCAAACCTGTTTGGGACTCACAGAAACTAAGTATATTTATGAAAGACTCCTTAAGGTCACTTCATGTTTTGGTCTGCCCCTTCCCTCAGCTGGCTCCAGTCAGTTCTTCCTACTCCTGACGGGGAAGCAGATGGAACTGGGGAGACATGGCAGCAACAGCAGAGAGGAAACAAGCCCTGCCATTGCTGCTACTTAGGGCTGCCAAGTCTCGTTGAATCGCGGCGGGGGATCGTCATTCTTTACAGGAGCTCTGCCGCTGGGGACGGCAACAGGCGTTGCACCGCCGTCGCCAGGATGTGACGCTACGCATTGCTCTGGCAACGGGACTCCAAACAGCCCCGTTGCCAGAGCGACGTGTAGCATCACATCCTGGCGACGGCGGTGCAACGCCTGTTGACGTCCCCCGTGGCAGAGCTCCTGTAAAGAATGATGATCCCCCGCCACGATTCAACGAGACTTGGCAGCCCTACTGCTACTCTAGGGAAAAGTGCCTGAGAAGCAAAGAATATATCTTATGCTCCTGAAAGACCTGCTTGAGAAAGCCATATGTTGTGGCTCCACCCGCTGGCTAGGGGCTTTGAAAGGAGGCTAGTGTGCCTTTGTGCTGAGAAAGCTCTTTTCAAAGCTGTCAATACTTTGCTAGTACTAGTAAGTTTGCGTTTGGGGGCTCTCTGCTGAGCTTCTGGAGGTAGAAACCCCCCCCCCCAACTTCTGCCTCAAGGTCCAGCCACAGCAGTACCTAGGGTTGCCATCTGGCCCAGAAAAAAGTCCTGTCCCTTTAACAGAGGCTGTTTGGAAGAGCAGGAAGGTGGAATGGTAAAGCAGTACAATCTCATTAGATCCTGGAAGCTAAGCAGGGTTGGTACTTGGATGGGAGACCAGCAAGGAAGACTCTGCAGGGGAAGGCAATGGAAAACTGCCTCTGTTTCTCACGTGCCTTAAAAGCCCATAAGTTGGTTGAAGCTTGACAACACTTTACGTATGGAATGTGTGGAAAGGAGCAACTGAAGCTTTTCATGGCAGGCAGGTGAATAATGTGACCTGATATTTGCTGCAGATCAAAATTACATTAAAGGAGTCACTATAGGGAACATTTTAAAAACTAGCAACTTTTTTGGCACCTAGTAAAGTATACCTTCTGAACAGCACATGTGGTGAGATACAAGAGTGAATGATTTCTTCCAGCCCCACCAAATGTAGTGCATTCTGTGAGTAAGGATGTAGGCCATCCTTTGAGTAAGGACACAAATTCTCATACCCCACCCCTATAAAAATACAGCCATTCCTGCATCCCAGTCAGTACATATTCCACGTGTGTACCCAGGCTAGACTGATCTAATCAGATCTTGGAAGCTAATCAGGGTCGGCCCTGGTCAGTACTTGGAAGAGAGACCACAAAGGAATCCCAGGGTCATGAATCAGAGGCAGCCTATGAAAGTCTCTTGCTTTGAAAGCTCTATGGAGTCGCCATAAATCAGCCGTGACTTGATGGCAAAAAAAACCCCTTTGCCTAACTCTCATGGAACTCAGTGGGACTTAGTGTTGGAGTAAACCTTATTTCTATAACTTCCCAGCAATACAGGTGTGAAACTGATTGGTTTTACTTGTCATCTAATTCTTTCGTTTCACTGATGTTATACTTCACATACATCTGATCATGTCTCCCTTGTTTTCAGATGTCCTCTCTAGGGAAAACAGCAGTGACATATCAGCTATTCAAAAAGCAAAAACTCTCTACAGATCTTGTGTGAACGAAAGTAAGCTTTTTTGAAAATTGATCCACGTAAGCATATTGAATGTTAACCTACTAGATGTTGTTGAGGTGCACAAACATACCCCACTGTAGCAAAACACAGCAAAGCCTGCATTATATTAATATCCATACTGAGATCAGCATATATTATTTTTTCCTTGGTTTGCTTTTAATATTTTTTCTGTGTGCTGGTAGAGTTTATTTAGCAGTAAATTTAAACCTACAGTGTAGAAGCTATTTAGGTGATCATAGGAAAGGCACAGATGTCTAAAGAGTAGTTTTCAATTATAGCATCAGTAAAGAAAACAGGTGGCAAGATGGTGGGTTGGGGGAAGAACACACACAGTGGTCATTCATCCTCTCAGGGTTATGTGTTTCTGAATGGTTATCCCAGATGTTGTTTAACCTGCCCAAGAATCTCTTAGTGCCCCATTTATGCCTACTATTACTCACTAAGAGGGTCTTTCTCAGGTCACTTGTCAGCAAATTAGTAAGTGTTCCCTGGACCGAAAAGCAGAAGCTTTTAGTACTGACTTGGGCACTCTGGCAAGCTATTAATGCTGGAATCCAGTCTAAATGATCCTTTGCATTAGCCAATCCCAGCAGATTGCCATCCTTGTCCATCATTGCTGTCTAGGTTGAAAAGTTAAAAAATAAAAATAAAATAGTGGCAGATAGATTGTGGTTTACTCAGGGGTCATTTCATAGAAAAAGAGGTGCAGGAGCTCATTAGCATAACTCATTAGTGTAACTTATTTGCATATGCCTCACCCCCTGACATCACCGGAAGTGTGTCAGAAAGGCAACACCCACCGCTCAGGCTCCACTGGACTGTTTTCAATTGCTAGCTATTGGGGGGGGGGGAATGTGCAGATCTGTCCTCGCAGAGGAGGGAGAGCTTGTACCTGAATAAAACTTGGTCTTAAAGGTGCCACTGGACTGTTTTGGACTGGGGGCTGGGGGGAGCTCTGTAACTGTAACTGTACTGCAGGCCGCTATTGCAGGCCATTACTGCAGAGCTCTGGTCTGTGGTTTTAACATCCAACTGATTATGAGCAGAAACATCGTGGAACATCTGGGCAGTGGAAATTTACTCTGACAATATACCATCTAGGTTAATTTTTAACTGCCGCCAGCACTTTGTATTTATATTGTTTTTATTTGTGTGGTAAAATATTTGTGTAATTTAGTGTATTTATGTTTTTATGGAAGCCGCCCTGAGCCCGCTTTGCGAGGAGGGCAGGGTATAAATTTGATAATAAATAAATAAAAAAACCTTACCTGGCTGCTTCTTGCTCTGACTGAGGGCTGCTGGGAGCAGGAGGTGGGGCTTGTGGCATGTGCCCGCCCCCTGGGCTCTTTACTGCCGGAGCTCCACTCCTGTGCGCTCCTGCAGGAAATGACCTCTGGGCTTACCTCATATGGAAGTCATCACAGAAGATCTGATTATATCAACTTAAAGTGGTTGGCACATAGCCTCGTGTGAATTGCGGACTCAGGATGATAATGACTTTCATTCCAGAGTGCTGGATCATGTGGATCCACTGTCAGAAGATGCAATTTTAAGCATACAGGAGAAGAAGCCACTGCAGAGGACACCAAATGGCACACCGAAGCTAGTCAGATAGGAATACGGGTGCTATCCTTCATCATTCGACTAAACGTTGCTTCCTTTGTTTGTCCTCAGTGTGCCGCTCTCAGGCTGACTTGCTTGCAGCTTTCCCACACTTTCTTCTTCCTGTCAGCTAGGTAGTTAGAAGCATAAACCTTTCTGGTAGTGTAATCTCCCTAAATAAATAGTTTCTACGGAACTGACCTTGGCTTGCAGAGCAGTTCTTTATGAACGAAAGCTAACTTTGCGCTGACCTGGATAGCCCGGGCTAGCACGACCTTGTCATATCTCGGAGGCTAAGCAGGGTCAGCCCAGACTAGTATTTGGATGGGAGACCTCCAAGGAATACCAGGATCATGACGTGGAGCCAGGCAATGGCAAACCACCTCTGAGCGTCTCTTCCCTTGAAAACCCTCTGGGGTCATCATAAGTCAGCTGTAACTCGACGGCTCTTTCCACCACCTTTCCGCAAGTGGAGGCACTTTCCTGTGGCTGGAGGAATGTTCTTCGGCATCAGTGGAGAGACTGCTTGCGCCAAAGAAAAGCAACACCAGCAGGAGAATGGATCCTAGGAACCCAAGCCAATGTTTTAGTTTTTCTTAGTGGGAAAGTGTTTTTCCCCCCAAAGGATGTTTGGACCCTGGAGCAAATTTTTGCAGGGAAGAACTGATCGTGTGAAATGTATAGGACCATTTTCATCTGTCAGTGTTATAACTAGGTACTTTTACATCTGTAACTCATGAGATTAATCTTTCTTTGTCTTCACAAGCTGCTATTGATCTCAGAGGAGGACAACCTCTCATTAACATATTGGACACTATTAATGACTGGCCTGTAGCAACAGACGACTGGGACCAAACATATGGTAGGACAGCTATGCTGATTTCTCCACAATCCGTTGTCCCCCCCCCCCAAAAAATAATAATTGTGGAGAGAGCTGCCTTCGTTACTATGCCGAGTGTATGTTTTTCATTGTCCTTAGGTCCCAGCTGGACAGCTGAGAAGTCTATTGCACAACTAAACTCCAATTATGGGAAAAGGGTCATCATTAACCTGTTTGTTGGCACAGATGATAAGAACTCCACACAGCACATACTTCATGTAAGTTTACCACTCTTAGGAAAGGCCTAAAATTTCTTCAAACTGTCATGGATCCTTGACTCACACAGCGATGCTGGTTCACGCAAACTATGCTTCATTGCCATACCAACTAAAATGTGAGGCTGGTGGTGGCCCTGCAGACACACCCACAGGCAAATGTGTGGTCGCTACTGCCTGTGTGATCCCCCTTATTTTCAATGAACATTTATCTATCCCATTCTGTTGATTTTCTTGGATACCCATATCTTCCATTACATTGTTCTGGTCAGCCTAAGTCAAGGTTACGTGAAAGCTTCTATGGCAGAAACTCCCTCAAGAATTAAGTCCCATTTATGTAACAGACCCATAATTATGCTTACATTATAACTTCACAGGCTGTCTTTTAGGATTAGTCTTAATGTTCAGGAATAACTTGAAGCTCAATGTTGATTGGCTACAAAGGGTGCTTGGAGTATACGGATATTGTAATGGCTTGGGCCCATGTTCCCTGCCCTATGATTGTGTTCCATTTCCCCCTGGTTTTGTTCTTCTGCACTACTAGTGGCAGTCAGTGAGGAAACCTGATATGTAAATATGTGGTTGCAGACTGGCCAGAAGATTCCTGTGAGGACTCAGGTCACTGTTGACCAGGGGTCTTTTCGTAGAAAAAGAGCCGCAGGAGCTCATTAGCATATGGTATGCTAATGAGCTATTAGGCTATTAGTATAATAGCTCATTAGCATATGCAACGCCCCCTGACATCACCGGAAGTGGTGTCAGAAGGGGAAGCAAAAGGGGGGGAAGGCATCTTCAAAAGCCTCCCCTCCCCTTCCCCAGCGGGGTGGGGGAGCGAAGAGAGAAGGAGTTTAAAGTTTAAATCCCTTCTCACTAGAGTTGGGCCACAGAAGGAGGAAAGAAGGAAGGAAAGAGAGAGAGAGTAGAGAGAAGGAATGAAGGAAGGAAAGAGGGAAAGAAAGAGGAAAGAAGGAAGGAAAGAGAAGGAAAGAAGGAGG